TACCTATATCTCATAAGCTCAAAAAGCCAGAAGAAATATTGAACATGTTAAGTAGAGACATGGAAGATATATTTTTAAAATTGAATGTATAAAGGTAAAATTATAATGTCTGAGATAAAAAAATATACTTAATGGAATTAATAAAGTTTAGATATACACACACACAAAAATCAGAGACCTACAGACATAGCAATAGAGACTACCCAAAACAAAATGAAGTGAAATATGGAACAACTACAGGCAGCCTAATATGTATGTAACCTGAGCCTCTGAAAAAGAATAGAAATAAAGGGAAATAATAAGTGATATTCGAAAAATTAATGGCTGGAAAATTTCCAAATTTGATATAAAACAAAACACAACTGTAGACCTACAGATCCAAGCAACTCAATGTTTCTTCAGCAAAAGAAACATAAGGAAAACTACACCAAGAGATATCATAGTCAAGTTTCTCAAATTTAGTAATGAAGAAAAATCTTAAAAGCAGCTAGAGGAAAGAAAGCCACACTGCATACACAGGAACAAAGATAAGGATGACAGCAGATTTTTTTCATCAGTTGTAATACAAGTGAGAAGTGGGAGAGCAACTTCTCTAAAGTACTGAAAGAAAAAAAAAATTCAACCTAGAATTCCATACCCAGCAAAAATATCTTTAGAAACAAAGGTGACATAAAAATTTTTCAGACGTAAAAAAGCTGAAAGAATTACTCTTCAGCAGACCCACAGTATAATAGTAGTGTATAAGAAGTACTTCAGATGAAAGCAAAATGATGTTAAATGAACATAAGAATCTGCACTAAGGCATAAAGAGCACCAGAAATTAAAATTGCAGAGGTAGGGTACTTCCAAATTCACTTGATGAGCTAGCTCATCATTACCCAGATACCAAAACCAGACAGAGACATTAGAAGAACTGAAAACTGTATTGACAGAAAGATCAATGGTTACCAGGGAACAGGGGTTGGAGAAACGGATTGACTGCCAAATGGCATGAGGAATATTTGGGGGAGTTATGGAAATGTTCTAGATCTTGAATGTTTTGGTAGATTCATGGGTGTACACATCTGTCAACATCCATCAAATCGCGTACTTTAAATGGGTATAGTTTATTGCATGTAAATTATACTTCAACAAAGCAGAATAAAACAAAACAAAATAAATAAAAACAGAGTATCTGGAAGATACTGTGGTTAGGCTCATTCAGTAACCATTTCAATCTCCTAGAATGTCTTTCTGTACTATAGAGCTTAGAGAACAAAAAAGTACATATCCTATTTTCCCTCACAGTTTTCATGTGTGACTTTAATAACTTCAGAGACATTTCTTGAGAATTTACTCAGGAATAGATTTATGTAGAAAGAAGGACAGAGAAAAAATTATCCATTTTGCTGGTGTGGACCATGGCAAAAACATCAGGTTTCTAGAGCTGACCCTTCCTGATTGTGGCAGGCTTCCTTGGTAATCCATTTTTGCAGAGGTTTGCAAATGGTGCCTGGTAACATGCTTAGAGTCTGTATTTCTATTCTGTAAACTAGCTATGCTTAATAATATTTCCTTAATTGTTAAATTGAATAAAACAGTACTTTAAATAGATACAGAATTATCAAGCTAATCAACCTCAATATCAGCTAATTTAAGAGAGCTACCTAAACCAACAGCCCTTCTATTCTTCTTTTGATGACCAGAGTCCCCACTTAGGTTAATTCTGTGTGTTTTATAGTTCATTTCTAGTGTGGGTTTTGTGGATTTCCACTGTAGAGTTTTATGGTTGATCCAGAATCAAAACATTATTTCTAACCTATTTTTTCTGAAATTTTTAAGATAACTTATGTCTAAACTATTAAACACAATCTTTTTGTGTAAAGATTTTCTGAACTATTAAACACAATCTTTTTGTGTAAAGATTTTTCTGATGCCAAAACAATAGGACAACTGCCCTAAGTAAGTTCCAAGCTGAGATGGCTCCTCACCCCCCAGGAAGACAGCATCCCAGGGCAGCGTAAATTTGTTTTCTAAAGTAATTTCTTCCTTGCCTGTTGTATTGCTTTCATCTTTAGTTTTTAGTTTGGCTGAGGAAGAGAGTCCTCAGGAAAAAAGAGCTCAGTATCCTTGTCCATCTTTCTGTTCTGGCCCATTGAACTCTGTTATCTTCCCTTCAGTGAAGATAACTGCATTCCTTTTTGGCACCATCCACCCTGGGGTGAGTGGCAATGATGGCAGTAAAATAAGGGAGCTGCAAAATGTTCTCATGCCTCCACATCCCATTTCATTGTCTCCTGCAGTCTGCCCCATATGCCTGTTTCTGTTTCTGTCTAACTCATTCTCTGGCCCTCTCTGTCACTCTCTCTCTCTCTCTCTCTCTCTCTCTCTCTCTCTCTCTCTCTCTCTCTCTCTCTCTTTCCTTAAAGAAAGGCATATTATGCAGATGATGTATACATCTTGATTTTTCTCACTCATCTGAATTTAAACTAAGTCAAATTGTTTCATGGAACTGTTTAAAATATCATAGATACAAGGAAATTACCAACATCAACTTCTTTTTCTCCCTAAAAATTATTTCTCTGTGTGCCCAAACCCAGCAGAGGGCGTCCTTCCATTTCAGATGCACGAATACTGCAGCAAAAAAAGGCTACAGTTCCAGCAATGTCTTCCATTTAGAACTGTGCACTGGAATTTAAAGGAAGAGACTATTGTATCAGGAAAGAAATGTGTTATGTAAGTTATTCTGGAGTGTTTACCTCTATTTTGAATTAGAGATGTAGAATTAATGCTCAGGAAAAAAAGAGCAAAAAAATCTGTCTCTGGCCTCTCTCCAAGTTTGGAGTGTTAGCTGCACATTTTAGAAGCAACAAGGTAGCGCCTGTGTGAGCCTTCCTCCTCTAGGCTACTGTGTGTGAAAATAAAGTGATCATAGAGCAAAAGCAATTAAGAAAGAAATGTGCTCTCTTCAGTCTGAACGACAAAGGGCAGAAGAGTCACCCCAGCCTGCTAGGTTGTCTCAGAAGCAGGAAGAAGATAAGCATGGTCAAGAGCAGTATAACAGGAGGAGTCAATCTTGTACTTGTGTAAGCTGGCAGCTGCTCACTGAGTTTAATTGTGCAGTTTCACAGAAATTTAAATTCCACCATGAGAAATATCTTACATTGCCAGAACAATTTTTCCTGGGCTAAAAGGTAAATGTCCACAACCTGTATCAATGATATTCTCCCTGGTACGGATCAGTTTATCAGACTGCTTCCTTAGGGAGAGAAGAAAAGAATATGAAAAGATGAAAAGCATCATTCATATATCCATTCAACATGTTTTTGAGCACTTTGTGCCAAGTCCCTGATGGAGGTGCTAAGAATGTATCCGCAAACAAACTGCCAAAGATCCCTTTCCTTGAGGTGAGGTACCAAAGAGCAAGGGTTCGGGGAGTTGGACAGACCTAACATTGAGTCTGGCTCTGCCACTTACCAGCTATGTGCCTTGGTGCAAAGGAATTCATGTTCTCTTTTGCAAAACAGGGATAATAATTGTTAATATTTATTGAAAAAGAACTTATTTCCAGGAACAGGAACTAAGCATATATATCATAAAATCTTCACAGTTAGCCTATGAGAAAAGTTGTATTATCATCCTCATTTTTAAAATAAGGAAACCAAGGGACAGAGTGATTTATAAATCACCAAGAATTGTATGGAAGCTTCAGAGCAGGAATTTGAAACAAGGCTGCCTGATTCCAAGGCTGTCTTGCCTCTTAACCAGCATGCCAGAGAGGCGATTCCTAAGGCTGTCCTGAGGATTAGAGGAGATGACACAGGTAAAGCTGACAGCACAGTATAGACAGTACACTATCAATATTATTCGTAGTATTATCATTATTATTTATCATTATTATCACTGCCAGTGTTATAGTTTCTGGGACCTAAGGGTACATGTTGAAATACAATAAAAGAGGCTCAATAAATAGTTCAAATCAAAATTCCCGTGCTTCAGGGTGCAGTCAGCCCAGCTCTGTCAGAAAGTAAGGTTGTATAATGTCATCGCTATTGAATCATGACTCCTCTGCACTGATCTTTCCATAAGATGACAGGCTGCCTTCTAACAGCTATGGCTCCTGACAGGATACCAGAACACAGGTTCTCTGTGAGAAAGCTAAGAGATTATGAGGTTCCCTGTATATAACAAAACATGAGTATTTCCTGCTCTGGTTTGTTCTAACCTCCCTGAAGGTTAAGATGAGATGCAAAACAAAACCTAGATCCAAGTATCCATCTGCAGCTTGACAGTCCTTTGTTCTCTGATAAGTGATCGCAAGGTCAGTCCCACCCTCTCGGCTTTTTGCTGCCCCAAGTACACTCTCTAGAGGCCTCTCCTGGGCTTCTTACCGACTGAGCGTGCTGTTCACAGATCAATGGGGGTGATGACACTAACGGTATTATCCAAAGAGAAATGAAACAGGCATGTTTTCTTGCGGCTCTGGGAGTTCTCTCTGCTTACTGTAAGCCTGAATTTGTGTCTTAAATGACTGCATTACCAAAATCAAGAATAGTTTTAAACAACAAGCAGATAAAATTCCAGCTCCAGGCCCCTTTTCTTACTGATTTCATTTCAGGACTGTCATCTGAGGCTCATGAGGTAGGAAATTGAATGTTGGATAATGGCGTGTAAGAGAATTCACAAACATGCATCTTACAAACATTTCATTTTTCTTGCCTGTACTAAAAAATTAATTTTTATCCCACATGTCAAGTTTCACAGTGCAGAACTCAAGTCAACTGAACATTTTTAAAAATGTACCCTGTTCAAAAAGGCTATTTTCATGCTGATTTTATCTTACCATGCTTCTGCAGGGATGAATGCTGTGGCAACACATGATTTGGGATAGAAATAAGAGTTTCAATCCCTATGGTTTGGTTGGCAAGTGTCCTGGTAGTTATGTTGCAAATGACCTTGTCATAGGCTTATAGATGTCTAACAACACAGGTTGGGTTCAATAAGAATAAGATTCTCCTTACCCCAAGATAATGGCCGTCGATGAACACGACAGGGAGAGATGGAGCTTCAGACACTCGTCGGCACCGTTCATCTAACTCTTTTCCATAGTCACCGTTCAGAGCTATGTTTTTCTCTTCAAATTTCACGCGATGATTTTGGAAGATCTTTCTAACCAGTTCACATCTTTCAAAGGTTGTCCGGACCACGCGAAGACAAGTGGTATAAATCACCACACGGTCAAATTCTAGTTCGGTTGATTGTTGCTGAAGGGAAGATATTGTAGTGTAAATACGTTTGCATTTACTTTCTTATGTCTTATTTTAAGACAATTGACAAGTTTTCACAAGTGTCTTATACATTAAAGGCATGCAATAAAAGTTGAAGGAGCTCTGTATTTGTCAGTTCTCAGATATCACTTTTTCAGTTACAACATCTGTAATTGGAATAGGGATAACAACCAACATAATTTAAATGACATAATTTAATTAACAGTAGTGTATTCCTGTTCTCAGTGGCACATCAAATAATGGAATATCTTAAAATTGGTGATGTCTCACTTGGCATGCCAACATGGTAAAATAAGGAAGGCTGAATTATTTTTCTCATGTTTTGTAGACATTGTTCAATTACTATATCTGCCTGTTAAATCCAAAGTAAAATATGTAACAGAGTAGTTAAGATTAGCATTTAACTCTGAGAAAATTCTTCTACTTGTCAAATTACCAAATTCCATAGTCTTTTGAGCCACAGTTTCCTGGGAATAACAAGAACTATATCATAGGATTGTTCTGAGGTTTAAGCAGCACATCTGTGCATGAGCTCTGTTAAGTAACAAGGCTCCAGTGTGCCGTGAGAAGGCTCTGTCATGAGGAATTAAGGATTAGGTGACTCAGAGGGAGTGCATAGACCAACACCAAATTGGGCAGTGGGTGAAAGCCAGGCTTGAAAAGGAAACAAAGAAATAGGTACACAACTACAGAGGCAAAAACTGTCAAGACCAAGATGAAGACTCCCTATGTGAGAACCTTTTCATTTCCATTTCCTGCTACATCAGAAATCAGTGACTGCTAGAGGCCGGCTGAGTGGCTCGGTTGGTTAAGAACTCACTCAAGAGTGCGAACTCTGAGCAACTAGCTGTTCGATTCCCAGCCCGAGCTAAGCTGCAGCTGAGCTGCCAACAGGTGGCAGGATGGCTCAGCTAAAAAACAAACAAACAAACAAAAAAATCAGTGACTGTATTATTGGGAAACCCTGACCAGCACCGCAAGGACCATACAGGTAGGTCCTGACATCATCAGGAAAGATCGTCTTCCTCTTTACCAATCTTGCCTGAAGGAGACTGAACAGAACACAGCTATACCATGAGACAAAGGGTACATGAGTCTTCGTGAGGCTACAGTTGTTGCAGCACAACCACACAATTTGTAAACCCATGTGAAGTCAACACTTTGATTGGAAACCGCTCCACACAGCTAAATACTAGAGTCCGAAGGTAAGATACTAAACTCCACCACTTTGTGTTCAAAGAAATCAGATCATTCTGCTGGATGATTATGTAGAGATAATCCTAAAAAGGTTGAAAGTCATGAAGATGGTAAAGTAATATTCGCTACCTCACCGAGAGAGAGGGCTTTTTTTTTTCTGGTGATAAAATGTATTAGCGATGTTAAGAATCATTTCTTCCTTCAATAGTGTTTAGAGGCTAAGTTGAAAACCTAGTGACCTGGAGGGTCCAAGGAGGGGTCATAAATCCTGGGATAAGTCAAGACTAAGAGAGATATTAGTGAGAGGCAGGGAGAGTGTTATATGAAAGGGGAAAATGTTACTCAGTTTCAGGCAAGCTTTAGGCTTGCAAGCATGTCACCCAGTGTTGTCAGACATAATTATTTTAAATATACGCTTAAAATCTGGAGTTTTACAGAAAATGTTCTGCTTTCTAAATTTTGGCACCTCATTAAAATGTATTGAGACCACACAGACCCATATACCTGACAGCTGAACTTAGCCTATAAGCTGTTAACTTACTAACCCTGGGTTAGAAACAGCATCAGATAACCCTGGACTCTGCCACTGGCTATAATTGTATCTTTTAGAACCTGGTGAACCATTAAGCCTCAGTTTCTCATCCATAAAATGTGATAATAGAAACAGCTACCTAACAGTTTTGCTGAGAAGATAAAGAAAGCAAGAATATGAAAGCAACTCATATGGGGCTTGAAATGTAGTACTGTGCTAAATTAAATGTTCAAAAATATTATGGGCCACATTTGTGGAATTTTTAAGATTAAAAACGCAACAAAAATAAGTCAGTGGAAAAAATTAGGGTAGTTAATGACAAGAAAAGGGGATGATTACTATGCTTTAGATTCAGAAGCATTGATTCAAAGAGAACAACCAAATACCCAAGAGCCCGTAGCCCCTCTTCACGTTCACGATCATGGCCAAGCCTGGCATCAGGGAACTCGCTGTAAATGGGCAGCTTTTGGGAGAGCACCAAAGTTCCTTTTTCCTGATATCTGACTAATTAATATTGTTCTTCTGGCTGCAAAGACTCACTGCATTTGGTCCTGCCAAAATGTTCCATTTTTTTCAATAGCTACACTTTCTTTTAAAATATTTGACAAGAAATATATTTGCCCTATGTGTAGAAGTGGAAAAGTTTAAGATTGGACCTTCCTGCTGTCACATCAACCAACTCACACAGACTTCTCTGTACTCACACACAAACGCTGGGTACTACTTTTCTGTGGGACTCTAACACTTGTGCATTTAAAAAACAGTTATAAGATATACTGCTATCAGATGGCCATATTACATGCTGTCTAACGCAAAGAGTAATAAAAGTATCTCTTTATTTACTGTTGAGGATGAGCTTTGCCTGGAATCAGTGGATCTCCAAGAGTGATGGATACTAGAATAAGCTGGGAGCTTTAAGAAACCTCCCAAAGCCCAGGCCAAGCACCTACCAATTAAGTCAGAAGCCCCAGGGGTGAGACCACAGAATTGAGACTATTTTTTGAAGCCCTTTCAGTGACTTTAATGGGCAACCAGGTTCTAGGGCTGGTTAGCAGCTAGTTGCAAATGCAGAATCATAGGACTCACTCACTCCAGATCCACTGAATCAGAATCTGCATTTTAACAAGTTTTCTAGGGGATCTGGGTATACATTACATTTTAAGGAACCCCAGTGCAATCACATAGGTTGATGACTTGACAAAGAGCCTGGATCCCTTTAAAATAACTGTTGGTCATTGATTTGCCAAATATGGTGCTAGGCACTAGATACATAATGGTGACAAAAAAATATGTTCCCGGGCCGGCCGAATGGCATGATGGTTAAGAACTGGCTTGGGATGCCAGAGGGCCCTGGTTCGGATCCCACATATGAGGGCCAGTGACGCTGCCCTCCACAGCTAAGATGCTGAACAACAGCTCAACCTGGAGCTAGGCTGCCATGAGTCACCGGCGATGGCGTAGGCTGCAGCCCCTGTGGCAGTGGGTTGCCATGGGCTACCGTATGTAGCCAGCAGCCAATGTGAACGGCCCTCAAGCTGCCGTGAGTGGCCATCCAGAAGCCGGCGACTGATCTGCCTCGCCCGGGAAGAGCGCAATGATGGTGCCAACTTGAGCCAGTGAAGCAACGTCCTCCACAACTAGACTGAAGAACAAAACAACAGCAACTTGTCTGTTCCCCTTCCCCCAATTCCCCAGTGCTGTTCCCATCCCCCCAATTCCCAAATAAAAATCTTAAAATAAAATAAATAAATAAATAAATAAAATATATATATATATATATATATATATATATATATATATATATATATGTATGTTCCCTAACAACATGGAGCACAGTAAAGAAAAAACAAAAGTTACATAAATAAATATAGAATTACAAACTGTTAAGTGATGTGAAGGAAAGGCACAAGATGTTAGAAGAGGCTATTGCAGGAGGGCCTTCTTTTGTCTTAGAGGTTGAGGAAGAATTTTCTGGTATTTGAGTTCTGGCTGGAAGTATAAGGAATTAACAGAGCAATTAACTAAGTAGACAGCATGGGGGAAAGTAGGATAGGTAAGTGCAAATTTCTTGGGATGGGAAGAACATGGCATGTTTGAGGCTCTGAAAGAAGGTCTTTTGTTGAAACACAAACAGGGAGAATTATAATAGTACTAAATGATTCTGGACAGGTGTGCAGAATTAATATCTTGTCATACTTTAGAGCCATCATAAAGATCTAGAGCCCTTAACCTAAAAGCAATGAGAACTTCCTGAAGATTTTTAAGGAGGATGGGAGAGATTTACATTTTTAAAAGATAAGTGAAGCAGGGCCAGTGCAGATAGTTGCACAGGATGTGCGCTGCACAAACCTAGGGAATGTCATTAGCAGCAGAGTCTAAATGAATGATGCCTTCAGGGTTGTGTAGTCCACAACTTGAGCAATCATACTCAGTCTCATTTGTAACTTCCTTGGTGTGGGAACTGAGACCGAATACGGGGTAAATCTGGGGTAGGAAATACGGGTATGTATTAGAATAAGCTATTAAGTAAAATGTTATAAAAAAGATATTGCATAATTTTTTGGGGTGCAATTTGGAAGTAGATCTTCCTAGAGATAGAGGCAGGTTGAATGATTTTTCATGGTCTTTTCCTGTTTTCTAATATGAATTTTACATGATATTGTCTTTGGAAAAAAAAATTCTTCTTCTACATTTGCTTCATTTTCTTTCCCTCAACAGATTTGTCAAAGCATCTGGCCAGAAATCTAAAAATAGTCTCTCACTGGTTAGCTGTCCCTCTTCTCCTTTGCTGAGGGTTACCATGGGGATAGCGTAATGAAGGAAGGAAGCATCTGAGACAGCACTGAGAAGCCATTGGGATTCGCAACCTGTTTGTTCTGAGAGAGCTGATCTAGGTGATAAAACAGGCAGCCCATTTCTTCCTTTCCATTGATTACGAAGATGAATCTTAGGGTTGCCCCGAAGCCTCACAACATCCCACAGCAAACGTAGATGTGATGGCAAGGGATGGAAATTGCTGTGAATGAGACTAAGAAGGTACTAAATATTATAACCAATGTCTGTCCTCAGTCTGCACCTTGTCTTGCATTGGCCACTGTGAAACAGTAAGTACTGTAGTTACCAGCTTCATCTCGGGATAATTCTGGACCCCACCACATCCACCAGAACTGCCACTGGAATTCAGGCCAAGAATCAGCCCCCACCTCTCCCTGTCAGGGGATCAGCGTGGAGCAGACCCAGTTTCTCC